TTTGAAGTCTCCTCTAAACGCACTGACCGTCTCATCACAGGATCCAGATGCAGCCATGATCTCCTGCCTCTCCTTCTCCATGAAAGGAATCAAATAACTAACCGCCTTTTTCATAACACGAGCCGACTTGATGACCTGCAGACACACGACTGTTGACTCAGACATCTTTGCACATACAGGAAGAAACAGTCAAACGATTCATGTGTTGAAGGATAAAAACCTCCTGGGGAAAGATTCATACAAAGGTTCACTGAGATAAACTGAAGTCTGTCTAAGACACGAGTAAACTGCATTTACTACAATGAAGTCACCAAGTGTGGAAGCCACACACCAGGTCAACAGAGTTAGTGTAAAAAGCCCAAAAGGTTTGGATAATGACAATTTTCTTAAACTGCTTATGTAATAATTATTTAATAATAACTATTTGATTGAAGTGAAGACCTTCTGGTTTCATTTTTAGTTTAAATTTTAATCTCTGGTTTAATAAGTTACTGCAACTGTCTGGCAGTGCGTCGTCTACGGATTGTAACTGAATCCTGTCTCCCTCCACAAATCCCCGGTGCCTCAGTGCAGCTGCTCCTACAACACCAACAGCACAACACAAACTCCAGTAAAGGAAGGTCTGTGGGCTCTGTGCTCCAGCACTGCTGCTGTAACAGGAGGATTAGAGGCGATGTCCCTTCATTGCAGCCATCGTTACCACTGCTTACATCTCCCACGATGCTAACAGGACACTGGACAATATTATCAAGCACGCCTACTGAGCAAACTGACTGTACTCTAATCCACCCACCCAACATTATTGTCAAATATGCGATGACACCACTGTGGGTGGGCTAATCTCTGATGGAGATGAGGCAGTGTACAGGACAGGTGTCGAACTCCAGGCCTCGAGGGCCGGTGTCCTGCAGGTTTTAGATGTGTCCTTGATCCATCACAGCTGATTTAAAGGCTAAATTACCTCCTCAACATGTCCTGAAGTTCTCCAGAGGCTGGTAATAAAATAATCACTTGATTCAGGTGTGTTGACCCAGGGTGAGATCTAAAACCTGCAGGACACCGGCCACCGAGGCCTGGAGTTCGACACCCCTGGTGTACAGGACAGAGGCAGTGAATTTGTCCCGCTGATGCTCAGAAAGCAACCTGAAACTGAGTGTCCTTCAAATAAATCATCATGGACGTCAGGAGACACAGACAGCTCCACTGCCGTCTCATCATGAATGGAGAACGGGTGGAATCTGTCTCCACCTTCAGGTTTCTGGGCACCTACATCTCCGTCGACCTCACCTAGACCCACAACACCACTGCTGCATTTCCTCCGTGTCCTGAGGAAGAATAACTTGGATCAGAAGTTCTTGCAGCCCTCGGTGGAGAGCGTGCTCTCCTACTGCCCAGCTGTCTGGTAAGCAAGGGCCACAACTGGGAACAGGAAGTAAGTAACACCGTCCAAAAAAATCATTGGCTGCCCTCTGCAATCATTGTAAGCCATCCCCAGATCCTTCTGTCTGAGGAAAACCAGGGTCGTTACAGGAGACCCCCAGAAGCCCACCCACCCACCCGCTGCCCTCTGGATGGCACCTCAGGTCAGTCAGGACTCACAAACAGCTTCTTCCTCTGGGCCATTTGGACCGTTAACAAACACTAAAAAATATTCATATTTCATCCCTCCACAATTTCATTGCACATGCACAATGACAATAAAGCCATATTCTATTCTATTCTATTCTATTCTATTCTATTCTCATTCAAAGGAAAAAGGGATTTGGTGATGAACTGAGTTTATTAGCCATAACTTGGGGATCTGTCAGGATATTTGACTAAAACTAAAACTGGTCATTTTATTTGAGACAAAGCTAAAGTTGTTCCCACACTGAGCCACAGAAACAGTGTTCACATGCACTCAAAGTCATCACCGTACCTGTGGCAGGAACATCTTTCCAGCTCCAAACAAGTCTCCCACCGCCTTCATGCCGTTCATCAGGGGTCCCTCGATGATACGAAGGGGTCGAGTGTAGCGGTGAACCTGAGCCCGACACTCTTC